TTACATTAATTGGAAAAAAAAATCACAAAACCTCTTCTTTCTTCCGCGCTGCTGGTTACACTGTTTTGATTTACGACGGATGCAGTAGTTACGATCCTCACTGCTTGGTCATTATGAAGTCCAATCCATCAAGTTCACCAAGAGACTCTTCCAGTACCTATGGAAAGGCGGGGTTAAAACTATGGTTCCCAGGTAATAGTACACAAACAAGTTTCTTGGATAAGATTTTTTTCTACCTGTAATTCTCTCTCTGCCTTGCTTCTCAGCTGAGATATACTATCTCCTTCTATAAACAGTTGATCCACCTTGTCGTTCAGCTGAGAGGCAAGTTTTAGCTGCAGGCCCTTGTCTAGTTCCTTTACCAAGAGGGCCATTGTGGCCTTCACCACTGTATCCCAAATTCGATTCGCAAGTTGTTCATAATAAACATTAAGCATGTCACCTGTTAAGAAAAATTGTTGTACTTCATAATTAATTAAATGCACGGCAGACCCTAGACCACGCCTAGTGTAGGTCCTGCATTTGTTTAAGTCGCAAACAGTTGAGCCACCCCCCCCCTCCGGCCCACCATCTAAAAGATGTGCTATCCGTCAAATTTGTTGACGCGTATTCGGATTCAGCACAGTCTGGACTACGTTAAGATTGTATGAACTTAATGAAAGAATTTTTCACCAACTATTTCGCTTTATTTCGCCTTTACTTTGGACCATTTCGGGGGAAGGTGTACAAACTATTTCGCAAGTTATTTCTCCCTCGATTTTGACTTATTGTTGACGTTTTCAGTTCCTTTTTTCTGACTTCTCGTTGACTTTAATAGACTTTTTTACTTTTGATTTTACTCGTTTGACTTTTTATTTGACTTTTTTTGTCTTTTTTTCTTGTTTTAAAATAACTCTTTGACTTTTTTCTTGACTTTTCCAATCGCGTTCACCTATTTTTAAGAGTGGTGTACCCCAAGTCTGAACCTCTACGACCTTTAAAATTCATAAAATCGGTTAAGTGACAGCCTACCCCCTCTCCCCACTAGGCTGTGAGAGCAGATGTTCATAGACCGAAGAGGCCAGAGAGCGTGCAAACTATTTCTTTGAAATGCGTTCCCACCTTTTGCAGTTGCAAATCGCTAACAATGCTGACGGCAAAGAGGCCAGCAAAAGTTCAGAGCTAATGCACGCTGTGCGTGTTTATCTGTAACCTCACCAAGAAGGACAGCATGTCTCATGTCTTTGATCGTCGGATTTAATTTTCCAATATTGGATTTCCCCGATGAAGTAAAGTTGGGGTCACTTCGAAACTGAATTTTCGGAAACGACTGTAACTCCTTGATGGTCAGAACATCTAGCACCCGTGAACCACTTATTATTTTACTGAGTTGGCCGCGAGTTATATGCCTTTCTTCAATGAAAATGGCTTGCAAGACCTGGAATAAAATAATTCGCAGAAATATTAGAAATGCAATTTCTGTATTTACAACAGTTGTCGGCGAGGTATAAGTGGGCGTAACTTCCACTAGATATTTCTTGACCAGTGACACAGTGGCACTCTCTTTTGCACTGCAAAGTGCTTAGACATAGGTTCGTATTGCAAACTATTTTCTATGTGGGTGAGAATTCCGAAGATTGGCATATACGAAAGAGCTCCTTCACAAGCTTGGAAACTATTCCTTTGGAATACAGGATTTCAAAGATTGTGATGGCTTGAGAAGAATTTCTCTGCAATACGAACTTATTCTTTGGAAAGATGCCCGCACAATGAGCAGAAGGCGATGCTGGGTAGGCGATGCCGTGCGGCCAGGCTGTGCTGGTAAGCCGTGCTGGTAGGTTCAACCACTTTCATGAGAAATCAGGTTCAATAAGACGATCACAAGCGTAGCCCCGCGCAACCGGCACGGCCTGCCAGCACGGCCTGGCCACCCAGCACCGCCCCCCGCTCATTGTGGGGGCACCTTTAAGACATAAATCGACGAGCCTTCGTAAGGTTAAATATGATATACTGTGCTAGCATTATATAGTCCCAGTGACCTCAGTCAACTTGCCTAGTACACACACAAGGGGTGAACAAAAAAATTGAGTGATCAGAAACTATCCTTATTAAATTAAATTTAAAAGGGCGACGCGCTGATGCCCATGGCATAACGACGCCACTCAAACCACCGTAATTGTATTGCATAACGAGCATCATCTGCCGTTTTCGTATCATAGGCCTGCACTTCAGCCGCACCGGAACACACAAACCTCTAATCGTTAGTTCTTCACCTGAAACAACTACAATCCTCTCATTGACCCATGTTATTTGCTCAATTTATTACTTACATAGTCCTTTGCTGTTTTAGTCAAGTCGTCGATCATTCCATCCACTATCTTACAGACTTCTTCACCTGCAGCGGGAAATCTTGTGGCAGTTTCCTCAGGAAAAGAATTTCTGCAAACATTTTTCAGTTCTCTGCAGACTTCACTGATGCATTCCAGTGATGGCTCTTTTGTACGTTTTACGAGCGGTTTCATCAGCTGATCAAATGCGTGTTCGGCGAGTACCAGTGGTAGCTCGACTCCACTGGTGAGGCGAATTGCTAAAATAACTTGTTCTAAACTAAATACCTCACAAGGTTTGACTTGTAGAAGAGAAGTTTCCAGATTTTCAAACAAGCAATGTAGTTTGGCTCCACCAGTCCTGAAAAAAAAGCAAGCCACAACTTGGTGAAGAGAATATCTTCACTGCAAAAAAATATGGCGGGATCGACAGCAGATCTAGTATATTGAACTGGCGGTGTCGCCGTACAAACAGACACTGGATCTAGTACAGGATGTTACAGTACGGGACGACCGTGCAAAAAAAACACGTTACAGGAAAGCCATTATTTGACTCCATACGAGCATTTCTGATCGCTTTTGATGTTACGGTGCCACCGTGCAAGAGTTGAACGGCATTAACGTAAACGACATTACGAATACTTACAGAATCGCCGACTCCACATCAGCGGATTCTCCTTTTATCGTATTGCCGAAAGATTCGCAGAACGTAGAAATAGAATATTCGAGGCAACTGCGTCCATCTATTTTACCCCCACACTTATCCAAAATACGCTTGCACTCGTCAATATTTAGGAGAAACGAATGCTAAAAAGAATCAGAGTTTGATTGTATTTAGTCAAAAATGAGTAGGATGAATAAAATGAGAAACAAGTGGCTGATTTGCACCGCTCACAGCGGGCTAGACTACATGATGAAAAACAATGTTTAAATATATTTAATGGGATAATTTTTAAAAATGTTATGGTATGGTTTCAAACCGAAAATTTTCAGGTTTAAGAAACCGTATCTCCTAAGGAACTTTTCGGAGAACTAGCCACCTCCTGGGCTTTCAAAACTTACTCTCATTTCAGGGATGTGAGCTTGAATATGCTTTACAAGTAGTGTTTGTAACTTTTTTGCGAGGTACGCGCTCCCGTGCTTATCAGCCAACTCTGGGTATTCCCTCTGCAAGTAATCCTCTTCATTTTTAATAGCATCTTCAATACTCTAAAAACAAAAATAAAAAAGCAGTGCAACAAATTAGGCAAGTGCAGGCGTATTTTTGCAAATACTTGCTTTGAATTAGAGTACCTTTCCTTTTTTTAAATCCTCTTGAGATCTGTTGATAACACCAATTATGCCGAGTTTCACAGGAATACATTTTCCAGTTAACACATCCTCTGCACTAGATCCTTTCGGAAAAATGGTGGCATCAGTAACAATGTCATGGATTAGTCTTCTCTAACGTTTAGCCCGCAATTAGTGCTTTTGCCCGTACCTTCCATTTTATCCACTTTTGTCACAACGGCTAAGGTGCGTTCACCTTTTGGATCAACTTGCTTTGCCAATTTAAGAGAATCGCTGGTCGCCATGTCTGTATTGCCTGGAGTGACAGCTAGAATGATACTTTCGGGATTCTCAATGAAACTTTTAATAAGGTCCAGAATCTGGTCTTCTATGTCAATAGGCTGGTCTCCAACTGGAACCTGAAATATTTGATTCCAAGCTAAACAGTGTTTCCTGGGATCATAGTGAAACTGATAACAGATAAGGCACTGCACAACGTGGAGCACAAAGCTGTAGGTTCTTGAAATTATAGCACAAAGTGATATCGATTTTAAAAAGTAATAAAATGATTAAGTCTGTAAGTCACACACTTAAGTTGTCATTGTATAATATATACATACTTTCGTGACTCCTGGTAAATCCACAAGTGTCAGTGTCAGGACGCTGGGAGAGAATATCCTGAGCGTTATTCGGGCTCGAGATATGTTTTTCGAATCACCTGCAAGGCTCGCTGTCCTGCTCATAATTTGACTCTCAATCTGACCAATTTCGTACATTTCGTAAGCATTGTTGTCGTTCTTGAGAAATTCGCCCCATTCGTCATGAGAAATACCTGAAAGTAAAATCCATGTGAAAATAATACCTTATAAAAAAGTTTAGATAAAACTATTTTCAAGCTTTAACCGAGGCTTTATTAAAATTGCGTAAGGGACATTTAAAGTGTTTAAGATTAAACATGGAAGCGTGACAAACATAGTGGTCGTGCCGTACATAAGTGAAGGCAGCCCTAGGAGTTACAGGAAAATACTATATAATGGAGACGGGTGGGCAGCGTAGTCACTGTGTGACGAACAACACTCCATTCCATTATTTTTCGAGTAGGTACTCTTAAAAATTAGCAGCACTTTTTCTCCGAGAAACCTTGCCCGTGGCCTGTTGGTAGCGGAATGGAGAAGGAAGTGATAGCACATGATCTACGTGATTGTGCGGAATAATACTCCGATTCGAGTCCCATAAGTCACGTGGTGTCATATGTATATAAATCATACTTCAGTGGAGGGAAATGACATTTTGTGGGTCGTTTTTACAAAGCCTCACAAAACTTGGAGTAAGTACGTCCACAGTGTTGACGTGACATGCACATTCGTTAATTTACGTCTAAGTAATCGGGACTACATCTGTTGACGTGTTTTCAGCGTGGTGTGATTTTGTTGGTAGTCATTCCTGAGGTCGTGCTGCCCCCGACCGAGTCAATCCCGCGTACCCTGCCTTAACGTAGCAAGGACAATGAAACGTACCGCTTCATGCTCGACGGAGCAGATATTACTTACCCTTACTCTTGCGTATCTTATCTCCCTCCGGATTTTTGGGACAGTTGACGAGTTGTAGGATCAGTGGGCAGCGGGTGACAACGTCGGTTCCGCGGGGAAGGAAGTTGCGACGCACTAGTGACTCCAGCACGGAGCTCTTGCCGGCGCTCTGGAGACAAACAACACACGTTACACTGAACTCCTATGTACGTTATACTACAAAACAGGCCACCAATGCCATCAGGGTCTGTATAAGGTGCAGCAAACAACCATACCTGGGCTCCTACCACGACGATTTGAGGTAAATTTACTTGTTCTTTACCGAGGGCTATAAACTTGTCCTGGAGTTTATTAATGGATAAAATGAGGTCGTCCATGACTAATGCCTGTAAAGAAAAAGGCGCCTTCATTAAGCACTTGAATCCCGATTTTATATTTTGCACGCACGTCGCACGTTGGTGCACAAAAGAGTCGTGTACGGGAGACTTGTAGGACACGCACGAAACTTGGGACCGGATATGCGCCTGCGCTGCGTCTCCATACATCAATACATAATGGTAAAGGTGAAGAGTCAAGAAAACTTTAGTTACTAGGTCACTAACTTTGGACGCTCTCGGACGCTCTCCTCCTCACCGATCCGTCCGCAAAGCCTGTGACCACGAAGGAGTGCCCCCAACGTGTCTACCTCCATCGTTGGAGCGTTGGAGTAACAGGAACAGGGCTGAATTCGATCTCAATGCAAATGTGAGTAATTTAGAATAAATACCACAACAGCGCCAGGGTGATGTGCCTGCCTTTGTGATCATCGCAAACGGTGTTCCAAGGAGCGGGATACAGACAGTATACATGGCCGTATACTTGATTTAGTACCTCCATTTTAAGTAAATTTGTTCACGTATATCTAAACTAAGTTAATTTCATTCAATTTTTAATCAGTATGATTAAAATCTAGTCCACATAGACAAAATTTTGTCGGTCCTGAATTTTGTCGCCTGGAATAAACAGTTCTCTGGGTAAGGATTTGGCATTTTGCTTTGC